TGTAACAACATTTACAATTCATTATGTTGTTACAACGTCAATACAATTATGATTTATTTAATATAGAAAACCTGTTGGAATGATTGGAACAGTTCAAACCCAAGCATTTTTGTCTGTAATATAATCAGACACTTTGTAAAAAGCTTTTTTAATAAGTGTTTTTTTTATAATATCTTTAAATTTATTTATGGCTAACTCTTGGATATTGCTTGGGACTTTATTGTATAAGCGAACACAAAGACCTTTAATAGAATTATTAATTTTGTGAAGCCTAGTAGCAGGTAAAGTTAGTTTATTTTTGTTTCTTGTATTAATTGTGTGAACATCACTGTTTTTAAGAAACAAATTAATATTTTTTCTTACAAGTAATAAATTTTCGTATATGTATTGTGATGCGACCGTCATTATTCCAAATTCTTTAAACTTATCTCTTAATGATTCTTTAACTTTAAGATTATAAATTGATCGAATAGCTCGCTTCTGCAGCACAAAAATAGTTTGAATGTCGGCGGCATTTCCCCACAATAAAATTCCGTACGACATTACACTATGGAAATAACTAAAGTACACTAATCTGGCCGTATCTACATCCGTTAACTGGCGTATCTTCATTACGGCATATGCTGCAGAGCTAAGTCTATTTGACAATTTATCAATATGTGGGCCCCATTGAAGCTTAGAATCTAAAGTTATCCCTAAGAATACTGTGGTGTCTACAAGGCCCACATTCCTATCCTTTACATTCACACTGGTTTTTACCTGTTTCACATTAGGTAATACAAATTTCATACATTTCGTTTTTCCTTCATTAAGTAATAAATTGTTAACATTGAACCAGTGGACTACCTTAGAGATACAATTGTTCACGTCGTCAATAACTTTTTCATTGCGTTTGAGTTTAAATAAAAGTGATGTAGTTATCTCTTACATAGTAAGGTAAGTCATTAATATAAATTAAAAATAAGAAAGGACCTAGGATTGAGCCCTGCGGAACACCCATCTTAACCGGCGAACCCGGAGACTTATTACCATTAATGTCAACCCTCTGAATCCTATCCCTCAGGTATGATGCAATAAGATCCAGATCAGTATCTCTAAATCCATAATGGTGGAGTTTCCTGAGTAATGTTTCATGAAAAACGCAATCAAAAGCCTTGGACAAGTCGCAAAACACACCTAGAGCGTCCTGCGAGTTCTCCCAGGCGTCAAAAAATTGTTGTATAAGTTCAACACCGGCATCGGTTGTTGAACGACCCCGTGTAAAACCAAATTGTTTACAGTGAAGTATATTATATTTATTAAAATGTGATTGCATTTGATGTAACATGATTTTTTCAAAAATTTTACTAAAGGTGGGTAGTACAGAAATTGGTCTAAAGTTTGTGGGGTCTGATGTACTTCCCGTTTTATGCAAAGGAGTAATTTTACTGTATTTCATTCAGGAAAAACACCACAGTCAACACAATCATTAAATATGCAAGCTAGAATAGGAGCTATTGTCTCAATTACCGATTTAGAAACATCAACGGAATTGCCCCACAGATCCGCGGTTTTCTTTTTATTTAATTGGTGAAACGTTTTTATTACATCTTTAAAGTCAACATGTTTAAAATGAAAATTACTAGTACAAGGTTTCACGTTTTCTCTTAAGATTGATTCGGCAGCAATGGGGGAAGAGTTCAAAGATTTCGTAGTTGAAACTGGAATATCAGTAAAGAAATTTTCAAACACTTTAGCAACTTCAATATCTGATGTAACCTTTTTATTATCAATATTTAGGTTATAATTATTTTTGCGAGTTTTGGATTTTCCAGTTTCATTGTTTATAATATTCCATGTCATTTTGATTTTGTCATTACTGTTCTTAATCTTTGAACTTAAGTAATTTGATTTTGCTAAGCGGCATACTTTTTTAAACAATTTGGAATAGTTACGAACATGCTCTTTAAATTTTTCACTAGTGTTAGATTTTCATTCATTATAAAGTTCATAAAGTGTTCTTCTACTTTTATGAATTCCAGGCGTAGCCCACTTACTAAAATTTACCGCATCATTAACACATATTTTTTTGGGTACAAAAACATTATTAAATTCATCGCAATATATATTAAAAAAATCATTATATAAATCATTTGGACTGTCTTTATATTTAAGATAACACAATTTTCTATCTAATTGATTTTTAAAACGTTCCACACGATTAGCAGTTTTTGGTATAACAGTGATGTGTTTTTTCGTCATCTGCTTGAGCTGATACGGAAAAGTAATCAACTGGCCACAATGATCACTATCTAGTTTATTAATAATTTGTTTTTTCTGTGGTATAATATCTGTATATATATTATCAATACAAGTGGCCGAAGTGGCAGCTATTCTAGTAGGCTCAATGAATAAGTTTTTCAGATTGTATGATTGAAATAAATTTTTTATTTTAGTACATGAACTAGATTTTTCTAATAAATCAATATTAAAGTCACCACAGACAATCAACCGTTTGCCTGTAGTGTATGTTTTTTTAAGAGCTTCATCCATGATAACTTCAAAACAATCATACAATGCTGATGGAGGTCTGTATACGCTCAATACAACAAGCTGGTCCAGTTCCACACAGGCAATTTCTATTGTTCGCTCAACCGAGAGGCTCACAATATCTCTTCGTTCCTTAAATTTTAGTTTTTTATTCAATAATATTAAAGAGCCACCTCGAATTGCATTTTCTCGATTGAATGAACTACCAACCTGATGATTATTAAAATTAAATATATTTTGATAACTTTTTAGCCAGTGCTCTGTAATACAAAAAATATCTATATTATTACAATTCATAAATAATTCAATTTCTAAGTCCTTACCCATCATTCCTTGAATATTAAGATGCACCAGGTTGATAAAACTTACATTTTTTGCAATGTTTTTGGATGGGTTTTTTTTATCTATATTAACAAAATTGTATTTTTTATTTACATTATTATTTAACAATATGCAAGACGAATTATCTTTTGTCTGATTGCTTAATTTAAATATTTATTATTATTTTGAGTGGTTTCAGTAGAATAATTACTGATTGTCATGTCATTAGAAGGTTGCTCAATAGTAGCAAGTTGTTTAGCCAAATTCTTGGCTGACATAAAAAAGAAATATGATAGCGATTTAGCTACCTGTCTTTTATTATAATTAGAAAGATAATATTTATCTTTTGTCAAATAAAAATTTCTAACATAATTGTTAGAGTCAATCAAATGGTATTTTTTGCTTTTACAAATTGTGTACAAAAGCATATTTAATTTATATCTTAACAAATTTTCCTCTTTTGGCAGACTGTTGCAGTAAGGCAATGTGAACAATACAATTTTTTCCACATTTAATGTATGTAAGGCTTAAATCTAAAGAAAATATAACTAGAAAAAATTCCACGCGGACCAGGCAGCAGACGGGACTCGAACCCGCACCCTTCGCAATCCGGGCGAATGCACTGACCAATTATGCTACCGCGGCCCTCACGGACCGCGTCGAAATTCTCTCTAGCTATTCTTAAGCTGCAAGGCAGCGCCATCTCTTCGCATTATAGGTAAACCCACAATGTCAAATGAATACTTTTACAAGTATTAAACATTTGAAAGAAGAAATAGCAATTATAGTTATAATTTTTATTATTTTTAAAGCATGTAACTGCTTGATATTTAAATCTAAAGAAAATATAACTAGAAAAAATTCCACGCGGACCAGGCAGCAGACGGGACTCGAACCCGCACCCTTCGCAATCCGGGCGAATGCACTGACCAATTATGCTACCGCGGCCCTCACGGACCGCGTCGAAATTCTCTCTAGCTATTCTTAAGCTGCAAGGCAGCGCCATCTCTTCGCATTATAGGTAAACCCACAATTGGTCAGTGCATTCGCCCGGATTGCGAAGGGTGCGGGTTCGAGTCCCGTCTGCTGCCTGGTCCGCGTGGAATTTTTTCTAGTTATATTTTCTTTAGATTTAAATATCAAGCAGTTACATGCTTTAAAAATAATAAAAATTATAACTATAATTGCTATTTCTTCTTTCAAATGTTTAATACTTGTAAAAGTATTCATTTGACATTGTGGGTTTACCTATAATGCGAAGAGATGGCGCTGCCTTGCAGCTTAAGAATAGCTAGAGAGAATTTCGACGCGGTCCGTGAGGGCCGCGGTAGCATAATTGGTCAGTGCATTCGCCCGGATTGCGAAGGGTGCGGGTTCGAGTCCCGTCTGCTGCCTGGTCCGCGTGGAATTTTTTCTAGTTATATTTTCTTTAGATTTAAATATCAAGCAGTTACATGCTTTAAAAATAATAAAAATTATAACTATGTAAGGCTTGTGTTATGGGATACTAGGGTAACGGATAGAATACGTATACTGTACTTATATATAAATACAAATACAAATATATTTATTAAAATTCACATCATACAGTCAGCTTATAACCATGGGTCCCACACTAGGAGGTCCTGTATCGTGGGCACCCAATGAATAAAATTACAGAATACAGAAACTAACTGCGTTTTAAAGTTATAGAGTGTGTGTATGTGTGTATGTGTGTGTGTGTGTGTGCTTGTCTGTACCTATGCATGTAGGACGGTGAGAGCCAAGGACTTCGGGTAATGCTATTCCAGTCGTTTAAGCAGGTTTTCGGATTGCATGTAAGTCATGGACAATAACCTTGAGGTGATAGTGCGCTTTGCCTGCTTCGTGTTAAGTTCTCTGATATTACACAGTTTTGTTACCTTATTGTAGATATACGGCAACATAAATTTTGGCAGGCGACGCGCGAAAGTTGTTCGTACAACAACTGTGGGCACCTTAAATACTCTCTTCTGAATCAGGGTAGTGTAATCAGGGGAGACGATTACAGCGCGATGCATTTTTAGAGCCACCTTAAGAATATAAGTATATGTATATAATTATGGAGGTTACTCGTACCGCAATTCAATAAAATTCGTAACAGGAAAGAACTTTTCCTGATGTTTACTCACATGTAGCATGGTGCGGCGATGTCGTGCGGGGGGTAAACCAGAATCGGCGGGGAGGGGACCGGCGAGGGGCTATTCTTGCGCCTTCGTGCGACGAACACTCCCGCCATCACTATTAGTAGTACCAACGCTGCGCTCGCTCCTCCAAGTGCCACCAACGCTACTTCTGTTAACAATATTTTTTCTTCTATAGTAACGTCTGAATAGAAAGAGAGATTCAGATGCAGAAGTTATACCAGAATTGGCGGAGATGGGATCAGCGATCTCCTTGCGTTAGATATGCACCCCTGCAAACTTCTTCAGCACCGACCATAGACAAGGAAGCTTGCGCAGTAGCAATTTTACATACCAATATGTCTTTTGCGCAAGTTTTTTGTCTGTGGTTTTGCTCGAGAAGTTTTCCGCTACTTATACCATCGCAATCATTTTAGTAGTGAAGTCCGAATAGCTTTAGTAGCTATGCTGACTTCAGGGTTCTATTTCATAAAAGTAATACCGTGGTATTTTTTACTTTAGTATGGTAAATTCAAAGAAACCTGTTTCAAAAAGTTTTGCTTTCGTAATAATTATATTACTCTAGTTGCGTAATTTACCGTAGTAAAACCCGGCCAAGTGAGAATCGGACTCGTGTACCGAGGGTTCCGTACAAACTCAATTTAATACCTCTACGCGTTCATGAAAAAACAGGTAGTAACTTTATAATTTTCAAAAATAAAATGTGATGTAACTAAAAATCTTTTATCTGTACTATAAGACGTTACTTCGTTATAAATTGCAAGATTTTAAGTTCACGGGAAACAAATGACTCCACCCCACCTGATGTTAAGTGAAGGTGAAGTCCAGATGCGAAGATAGCTAATACAGCAGTTCTACTTGCCACACAAGCCATCCTCACCCTGCCAGCCTGCATGTTGCTTCTTCACGCCTCTTTTAAAGGATCCCAGGTTGTAAGAGGGAGGGAACGCCGGCATCGCATTTGTGATACTCCTGGTGTTGCAAGTGTCCATGGGCGACGGTGATCACTTACCATCAGGTGAGCTGTCTGTTCGTATGCCCCCTATAACATAAAAAAAATTCGTTGTGTCAGGTAGTTAGCGCGTTCGGTCTGCGAACGTCATTGGATGGGTGACCAAAAACTTTTTTATTTCGGCTGCATATGCAGTCTTTAGCACCCACCAATCCGCACTGGGCCCGAGTGGGTGGACCACGGTCTCTCCGATCAATCTCCCTGTTCCATCCATAGGAAAGGCTTGTGCTCCAGCAGGGAGGACATTAAGAAGCTGAATATGATGACTTAGGTATCTAAAAGCAAACCGACTAATTGTTCAAATTCAGTACCCACTCCATTATTATAACAATTAATGGAATTTAACAAACAAAACTTTTAGTCAAAAGTTTCACTAAGGTTTATAATTTATAATAAGCTTCTCTTCTATCTGCATACTCTCTGAAACATAATTTTATTACTGTTGCAAATAACTCATAATTTTTTATACATTTACAAAAGCCGACAAATCATGAATAAAAAGTGAGTTCCTAACTTGATTTATGCGATACCTTTGGAAAATTTATAGGTCCCACGCAAAAAGTAGTAACAGACATTTGATATTATGCTTTTGCGTGGGCAGGCCTTTCAGTGAATGACGAAAAATTGTGACGGTTATTCGTGACTGAACAAAAAACTATCCATCTATGCAACATTGTTACTTGTGATGAAAAAAGGTTTTTTTTAAGTGAATGATTAAATATTTTAAGTGAAAGCTTCTTTAGGCGCGTTGGATATTTTTGAGATAGGAATACACCAATTATGTAACTTGCGACATACCGACAACACTTCTGTGTACAAACACATATAAGTATAATGTGTATTATTTTTTGTTTTCAAAGTTAATAATACAACAAACTTCGAGTGCAAGAGGTTTTGAGTTCGAACCCGATAGGCATTTTTTTTGTTTTCATATTGATGTTTTTTTCACTTTTAAGATTTGAGTTTTCACTTCTGTCGGCTATCCCGGAGTGCCACCCTAATTTCGACGGACTTCCTCAAATGTGGAAGTCCCTATAAATATAGCAAGCCATTTTTTCTTTTTTAGCTTTTCTATAAAATTTTAGTATTAGTGCTTTTTGGTTTTTTTTTTCCTTTTCTTGTTAGCATTTTATTTTTGCTATAATTATATAATTATGCTGATTTTTTACAATTTGATTATTTCTTAGTTTTATTCCATTTGCTTTATCTATCTTTTGTTCTTCAATAATTTAACTTTTACCTATATTTATAGGTACTAGAATGTAAATCACTAGTTACTTTGGTGTGAAATTAGAACTGAAAACAGGAGCCACTCTTCAGTAACAACAAGATTCATAAGTAACAAAAAGAAATTATTATCCGCTACCAGGTCCGAGATCCGATCCAACCTATAAGTAATTATGTCTTTTCAAAATATCTCACAAACAACATTCCAAGTTAGTTGAAATCTATTCTTATAAAAGAGTTATTTTGGGTTACCTACTAATCTATTAAATGGCCGTTCTGACGTAATTGCAATTTTTGTGTAAGTCCAATCTTTTCTTTTTTCGCTAAGAATATTTTAATAAGAAGTTATTTTTTTTGAAGTTATACTTCTTTAGGCGCGTTATGAAAAAAATATGAGAGTGAAATTTTTAGATGCGCGCGCATCACTGTAACCCAAAAGTAACAGCATGAAGTTGGCGGGGGGCGCGTTATGAAAAAATCATGTGAGTGAAATTTCGAGATGCGCGCGCATCACTGTAACACAATAGTAACACCATGAAGTTGGCCGCGGGCGCGTTATGAATGTTAGTGTCTAATAATGGTGGATTATTAACCACTTAGTGGTTAATAATCCACCATTATTAGACATCTGTTCGAAAGGTACTTTGAACGATCCACGGAGCTCCATAAGATGATCGCGTTGTCAAAAACAATGTTGGCACGCTCGTCGCCTCTGATCACTGTTTTCATATTTATAATATTTATCCACATGTTTCTAGTTTCTATATAGACACAACGTGTTTTAGTTACTTACAAGTGCTAATTACATATGGACTAATAACTTAAATTCAGTAGTGATTTTAATTGAATATTTTGAATATTTATTTAATTTTTCAAATTAAAACTGAACTTAATTGACTGTGTTAACTATCCTTTTCCAGTCCTTTTATTATTTTAATGTAATTATTAATTATTTGCATGCAATTAAAAAATATTTTTAATGATGCTAAAGAAGTATAACTTCTCACGCGCGTACATAAGTTACACGCATCCTTTTTTTTTTAATATGGAATTCTTTTTTGAAAATTTAGTTTTTGTTTAATGGTTAGCGTTCTTTTTCAGCGAATTTGGACTTTTTTCGTCATCGTGGATACGTTAAAAATTCGCATCAAAGCCGAAGAAGCACCACGCAACATCAACGACGTACCTATACGGAGCGAACACTACTAACGATCGTACCACCCGTTATTGGTTTGTCCGCTTTTGTTCTGGGAATATCGACCTAAGAAATGAATGTCGCGGTCATCCGAAAACGAATAAACGAATATAAACGATTGTGAAAGCTGATGATTCTCAATCTTCAGCTGAATTAGCAGCAGCTTTCGATGTAAGTATCAAAACAATATTGGTCCATTTGCATCATATTGGCAAGGTAAAAAAGCTTGACAAATGGGTGCCCAACAAATTGAATGGTCGCCAACGCAAAATACGCTTTCAGTTGAGCCTTGCACTGCTCAACAGGTACAAACGTAGGCATATTGAAAGACTTTGTGACTTGCGACAAAAAATGGATACTGTGTGACAATGGCTAGCGCTCAATAAGTTGGTAAGATCGTGGTTAAGCACCTAAAGAATACCCGAAACGAAAGCTGACGCCTAAAAAGTGATGGTCACTGTTTAGTAGTCTAGCGCGGGTGTCATTCATCACAGCTTCTTACCAAACGGGGCGAGCATTACTGCAGCTACACATCTGTGAGGAACTGAAGACAATGATAGAGAAGCTCGTGCATCTCCAATCAGCTTTGGTCAATCGTTCGGCTCCGCTGCTACTGCACAACTACGCGCGACCTCATACTGCACAGCTTATGGTCTCCAAGTTACAAGAGCTGGAGTTGGAAGTTCGCCGTCATCCACTGTTCTCATCAAATCTTGCCCCTACAGACTTCAATATTTTCCAGAATTTGGATAACTTCTTAGAGGTAGTTCAAAATGCCTTTGAAGAATTTGTTGCCTCTGACATTTCAAAAAGGGCTTCATAAGCTACTACTGCTTTGGCAAAACTGCACTAATCGCATGGTTAATTAATAAAAATTAAAGCAACTACCCATTTATCATAAAAATACCCTAAATCATTGTCTGAATTCACTAGTAAAATCTCAGGTAACTCAAAATTTACGGTGTATAGATTTTCATCCTCACTATGGATTTTTCCATCCTGCCTACACTAACCATTGCAGAATTAAAGAACTAGAGCAATATAACTCACTGACGGGTGGCTTTCTAGAACAAATAAAAATAGATATCGATTGTTTTATCTTGTATCTTAGGTTTGAATATAGCCATGCTGTGGACTGTTCTTGAATAATAAATTCCGCCTAGTGTTTTAGGTTGAATATGAATAGAGTTATCTATTTCGATATACCCTTCAGCATTAATAAAAGTTGTATTTTAAAGCTCAAAATAAATCAGTGCTCGACTCATTTTACCATTCTGCAGTGGTCAAGACATGTACTTTTGATATACATGTGATATTAAACAGTAAGAAAGTCATGTTCTCCAATCCCCCTACTCCTATCCCCTACTTACCAAAATGACGGTAGATACATATCACAGAAACACAACACTATCGAAAGGTTATGTTATTTTATTGTGGTACCTTAATTCAAATTGAAAATACAGGCACTGTCTCTTGAATAATGGCTCGATTACACTTGGGCATTAGCCCATATTCGGGTGCACGAAAGACAGCAGGGATTGGGTAAACAAAACAAAAACTACCCGAATACCGACGTACTCGACTCCGTTCCTTTACACTTTGTCGATTACCCGTATTCCATTGGCACTCGTATTCGGGCTAACGACCAAGTGTAATTGCGCCATAACATTTATGATTATTGCGAATAAAACAACGACGTATAAATTCTGTGGTTAGCTCACCTAAAAAGTCGAAAAATGATATTTTTTTTGTTATATGTTAAGATACCAAGCACGGATTAGCACGAAAGTCGCTATTCATGTTTTTTTTGTCTATATTCCTTGCTTCCATATAAAAAACTGTTAGTACTAAATTAATATTTTTTATAAGAATATTAATTGTGTCTTAAGCATACAAAACCATTCATTTGATAAAATTGGTTACTAAGTTATAAAATTAATATGAAAAAAGACATGTAACCCTTATCTTGTTTGTCTTCCAAATAATATAAAAAACCTGACGTCGAGATAAAATTTACTGTGATTTAGTTGTCTTTAATATTGCGGAAAGTAACCACCTAAAAAGCTAAATATTAACTTGATTTACCCACAGACTTTTGTCTTAAGGCTTATTCCGATATAAGCAATAACGGCGCGTCGCGTTTGGTAAGGATATCAAATCGCGACATGCGCGATAATCGCTGTCACGTTCGGTAGCGATACCGAATCGGTAGATGATGTCGCGTTCGCGTCATGCGCAACAATTGCTGTCGTGCTCGGTTAAATAGTTAGTCACTTTTGTGCCATCCATTAGTCAATGCAAGTACACTTCGTGCGTTACCGTTAGAAATACAAATTTTTATTTGTATAATGGATAGCAATGTAAATGAAGCGTTATTGTTATTAGCTTTACTTGACCCACCAATAAGAAATCGAATTTGGGTTCATGGCAGAAATCCAAAACACGATTTTGGAGACACGAAATCCATGGAAAATGTTTCACATTATACCATCGCTTGCGGCGAGATGAAGATAGGTTATTCACTGAGTTTTGAATATCTATCCATATCTTTGACCTTTAAATGTCGAGCGCGACAGCGATTATCGCGCATGTCGCGATAGCGCCTCCCGATTCGATATCGCTACCGAGCGCAAAAGCGTTTATTGCTTATATCTGAATAAGTCTTTATCTTTTATTTTGCAGCAATATAAAGGTATTAACTACGAACAGAATTTAATTTATCTTAAAGCTATCCTTACAATCCAATTTAACAAAGTTTCGTTATTCTATGCACAAAAAAAAAACAAATTTATATCGCTGCTAACGTCATATGTGCTCAAAGTTTAGCAACATTTCTAGGAATCTAAGGTCAAATTTTGTAAGCGTATACGTTAACTACTTATAAACGAATCAGTTCATTGGTTACTTTTTAATGTATACTTTCTAAAAAAAGATTGTTATTTGGACATGCTTAATATTTTTATGTTCTTAAATTTTTGTCAACATTTATTCACTACATTAAAGGGAAATCAGTAAATAAACAACTATGCACTACACTTGTCAAAGCAATTCTTAACTCAGAAACCATCATCATTATCACATGCCTTCGAAAGCAAGGAGGAGTGTGAAATAATAAATATTTGGTTACTCATCCTGTAATGATAAATATGCTAAGGGGCTACAAAACTATCCTGGTCACTGTCTACTTCTGAAATGGTTATGCTCGGGGCTATAAAGGTATCCTTGGCCTACGGTTTCTTCTAAAATGATTTGAAGGGACCTATGCCTATGTGACTATGTGGGTCTCTACGGCAGCAACTGTAATGACTAATCGTAGATCCCTAAGTAACTGTATTAAATAGTTATTGTATCCAGGCACGAAACCCATTTTAGATAAACATAGGGCCCTTCATATCCATTTCAGATAATGCTGTTGTGACCAGGATAGTCTTGTAGCCCCTTAGCATATCATTACAGTCCTATGACCGGTAATTGAGAAAGTAACTTATTTTTGACGATCGCCGACCGAAGGTGCTAATTAAAATACCACCAAGCTCCTCATAACTTAGATTTCATTAATCGCCTGAGAATAACAGTTTGTGAAAGTTCAAGCATACCTAAATCATAATTTCATTATAATATAACAAGTTATTGCCCCATAGAAATATGAAACAGCCCATTAACAGCTCCGATTACGACCTCCATAAACCTACGCCTGGATCAATTTGATGCTTGAGCTTCTAATTTTATTCCTGGCAGCAAAACTGGGTGGAACAATTCTATTACATTTTGTTGTCGAGTTAATGAAAAAAGAAGAAAAGGCATGACCAATATATGAAAAATATTTTCGTTATTGCAGGAATTATGGAAGCTATTTCCAGGAAAATGAAACAAGTAGGGTACGATTTCACATAATGTCTGGCCGCTGTGCTATTTGCAGCCCTGTAGGCCTATTAGCTAACTGCTATTGGCAGATGGAAGTGATAATCACCGAGCTATTTAGTGGTCCACTGTGACTTTATTACAACGCCACTACTAAGCTTGTTCTAAAAGCATCGATGCAAATGCAATTTTCTCTTCGGTTTACACACTGTACATGACAAAAAACTTAGCGAATAGGTCGGCTGGTCAGTGTAAAGTGTCACTCTGCACATTTTCAAGTCACTTTGATTAAACAAAAAAGCTAAAAGTTGCAACTAGCCTTGGCCCCATTTTCGATTTTTGAAGTGAAAACTTCTTTAGCGGCGTTGACACTTTTTTTGTAATGGGTCAAAAATTTTAAACTCGCGTCAGGACATGTGACCTGCTCGAATATTTGTAAGACGAAAACTTCTTTAGCGGCATATTTTTTTAAAGCTGAACAAACTATTTACTTTTCCTCAGTATTATCTCGGTGGTAGCGGCTTACACCTCGATAATACTGCAAATGCTATGGGGATTGTATTTAGTTGTTGTTATTTGTGATCATCATCATCATCAACCCAAGCTAACTCTCCTAATGCACGCCACTGCTCCCGATTTTCAGCCAATTAAAGTTATTTGTGATGTTATTTGTTAAATGGTTTAAGGTTATTGATTATATGGGATATGTATCTAGTATACGCGTTTATGTATGATTCTTTGCTTAGAATTTGCAGTAGTTTAAATTGGTTCTGTAGATTGCAGGTGGAGTGGTTAGATTCGGCGCGGGCAGCGGCTAAACGTGGGCAGTTTTCGATAAGATGATCCAAGCCCAAAACTGGTGTTGTCACAAGGGTAGAAGTCGTCTCGTAGTAATGTGGAATCTGTGTAGATATTCTTTATGATAACCAATGGTTTGGTTTGTGAGCAATTCTGTTATGGCAAATCTAGGGGGAGCTATTGAAAGGAATTTAAGATGTTCAAGAGTTGGTAGGATTTTCTTGGTTAGCTTGGTTGGTAGTTTAGCGGCGTTGTACACTTTTTTTGTAATGTCAAAAACTCGCGTCAGTACACGTGACGTGATCGAAAATTCGTAAGACGGATGGAGAGAAGACAGCCGGCGCGGCATAGGAGAGAAAGTATCCCCCTCTCTTTCTACTGCCGGCACGCCCAGAGTGCAACCCTTCGTTTTCTTTTTCAAACGTTCAGAGGCAAAACCAATGTGTCAGCTTGTTTCCAAACTTAGTATATGATGGAAATAAATCTTGTTTATGGATTGGTTGTAGAGGGTCGAAATGAAATGTCAAATTTTCTTTAAAATGCTTATCAAATATTTCCATTGCATATAAAGTATTTATTTATTTTCTTACCTCTTAAGTTAACACCATTGCCGAAGGAGAACTCGGTGATAGGGTTATCTGTAGGCGCCTGTTCGAATCTCGGGTTAGGTGTTGAGGGGTCCAGCTGCTGCACCCGTGCGGGGTTCCTAGCAATCACTGGCTCCACGTAATCGTTGCTGCGGTCATAATACTCTTCGTCTTGTTGGCCGTTGTATTCAGTTTCGTAATCTGGTGACAAATTATATTATTATTCATTAATCTATGCTGAATCGGTTAGGCTTTGATTATCTTTATATATATAATTCTTCTGTGAGTGTGTATGTCACTGAACTTCTCTTAAACGACTGGACCGATTTTGATGAAATTTTTTGTGTGTGTTCAAGGGGATCTGAGAATGGTTTAGATTCACAATTTTATCCGCTGGACAACCCCTATTTTTTTAGGGCGGTACGAAGTTCGCTGGGTCAGCTAGTTATGTATATGTATCCGGCAATCTGTATAATTCGGGATTCTATACATTACCTAGGCAATGTATAGAATGCATAAAACGTCAAGGCAATATATAAAATATTATTAGTTCTATACTTTGACTCTAGATATTCTATACAATGAAAAATGCACAATCGGCAATATGTGTATAAGAAGATAGCACAGCGGCATTTCCTTGTTTTATTTATCCATTAGGTAGCTATCAGGTGGCTGACGCTTGCCCGTTAGGATAAGGATAATTACAGGCTTAATCTGATTATTTACACATTACCGGTGGGTCAGCAGGTAATCTATATTCCTATTTATCTATCTATAATACCTAGGAATTGTATACATTACCTAGGCAATGTATAAAATGGAAAATAATATTTATAATATTTCATATATATAATCTAGATGCTCCAGGCACATACCAGATCCGGGTAGAAATCGTTAACGGCGCCCTGGCAACCAAATCGGTATATAAGCTTTTAAAGAAAAACCCAATCGTTGCAGTTCTATTGAAATCTCAAGACATCCATTTGTCTTAATTTATCTCATTACTTGCACAATATCCAGTATTTCGGTTTTAGTCCGTCATTGAATGAAGGACGGCATTATTATTTCCTTTGTCCGTATCGTAATTGGCACTTCGGAGGAATTTCAGATTATTTAACGTCAATATACCTTGCTCTTGAATAATGCTGCCTGTACAAATTAATATTGATTGTTTAGACCAAAATTTTACTGTCAGCAGAAGATAACCAATAAATCCGTAGGTACTCAACACAAATTAGCAAAAATAGTCGTTTCAAAATAGGGCATTCAAATTTCATAATCTTGATTGATATTTATGTGTTTGAGCTCTGTAAACAATTTGCGACGACGTAACCATTACAATAGTAACAATAGAAAGAAAGAAATAAATACACTTGTTTCTTAGGTTTTCACGCACATCACTCATTAAATAAAACTAGTAATTACGGGTTAATGCACGAAAACTTTATTTATTTATTGACGTATCGTAGCCTTTACAGGCTACGTCGTCAGAACACAAAGACAAATTTATTCTGACGACGTAGCCTGTAAAGGCTACGAAACGTCAATAAATAAATAAAGTTTTCGTGCATTAACCCGTAAAAACTAGTTTTATTTAAATAAATACACTGTTTACCGAAGGGTGAAAGTGACCGATTACTAACGAAGGTGAAGTTTGATCACCACTTAATACATCCGAGATGGAAATTGCACTTTTTCACGAGGGATACATAATGCTTTATACTATTAAATTAGAGTTGTTACAGGCTATAAAAACTCTTTTTTTTTTGGGTTGGGAGCTTTTTTATTGGTTTCTGGATAATACGGGTTAACTTGGTTCTCAATGACTAACGATACTGGTGACTTGGAATACCCGAAATAAAAAAAAAACAATGTTAATAATGGATATCCATACATTTTTACCGACCGCTTAGTAGTACAACATTAATGAGGTCTTTTTGGCTTCATTTATAAAAAAAAGAGAGCAGATAATGTATAAACATTTTTTTATTAATCATCAATCAAACAAAACATTATTTGTGTATAACAAGAAATATAATACTGTAAGTGACGATGGCATCAATTATGGAGTCTGCTAGTTTTTTTTTACAATAATCTCCTTAGAAAAAAAAAATATTAAAAATCCTTTCTGAACTAACGAACTAAGAAGAACTAGAATGACTGACAATCTCATGCATGTTCCAGAACTCGCACTTTTTCAACTATGCGTAAATACTAGCATTCCAAAACCAACATTATCGCGAGCTGATTAATAAAGACGGGAGTCCGTTAAGGGTCGCCGCACACGGGCCACCGGCCACAACCACAAAAAACGCGGCCACCGGCATATTTATGAAAACTACAGAGTTTTCATACATTTTATTTGACTCGCCGCACACTGTTAACGCCGGTGGCTGCCACACGCTACAAATCGTCGTTGCTCGCTTCTTGACGCCCGCTTCGGCCACTAATGCGCCGATACAAAACGCCGCCACACGCCACTCGCGCGTTTTCCCACCTTCAAACCTTCTTCGTCAAAGTCCATTATGATACTGCACGCATGTGTTAAAAATAGTAGCAGGCACCGACGGCAAGTGTCGATCACCTTGTGGCCACAAGTGGCTGTCACGCGATCAGCTACCTTTTTAGCCGCTTCTAGCTTCTCGTGGCGGGCGTTTGGGTCTGTCGCGTGTGGCCCGTGTGTCCCCTTAGTATGTATCTACTAGCGAAAAATAGGTTATTTCTCATTATGCTAAGTAACCCTTTTTTGTAACATGAAGTAATATCGTTAATATAAACGTTACGAACAGTATAATTCCGAATTTATCATTAAATTTCAATAATCATAAATACCTACCTATTATGATAATTTATTTTTCTTCATTTAATATGAAGGCACTGTATCACAGTTTTATTGTAAGTACTTCGTATAGGATTAGATACTGCGAGTAGCCCATTTTTTTTTCTCCTTAGTTTTATCTACGAGTACAAACACAAACATTAAATTTCTTCTCCCACTATTCCCGCAGTCTACTCCTGCATTGGACACCGCGCTATCACTTTGTCATCGTTGTAACTTTTTCAATATTTGTCGGAATGACAAAGTGTAAAAGGCAAAGTTTATCGTCTTTAAATATCAAAAGCGATAAAAGTATTTGTTTTGAAAAAAAAATTGTTAATAAATAATGTTCATTTTGGAAATGGATATCAAATAATATTTTATTTTTGTTTCACTATTTTATTTATAATGGCTTACGCATTAAAAATATATATATGGTGTCGCGGATTTTTTTGTAGAACTATTTAAGAGTTACTTTTTCACTGTACATTATATTCATGTAACTTTTATTGTTTTTTCAGTGCAGGCCAAAATTTCTCGCAGATGGTAGATTTTTTTCCGTCTTAAGTGACACTTATTGTAATATTTTAGCCAATTCACTCAATAACTACATGAATTTTATCTATATGTTATGATTATATATCAGCTATTTTATTGTATAGTTTCATTAAAATCCACTAATTTTTTCTTGGGTGATAGAATAACAAAGATCCATAAACGTAAGATTGAAATTAAAAGCGCAAGTGGTTAATATACAACTTTCAATCGTTGTAGTATTGTATCCTAAACAATCATATAAAATCAAAAATGGTGTAAGGAACCTGAACATGGCTTTCGATTATCTAGACAATGATATCCCACTCGACATATTTCGTCAACTTATTTTTTTTTTTACTTTGTCACAATATGGCGCCTAATTATCCTCTTAATGCATTTATATTACTATCACATCTGTAGTAGGAATCATCAAAATCGGTCCACGCGTTTGGTCTCTAGTGTGCCACAAAGAAACATACATACATATATAGACTGTTAAACACTATACCCTGACTGTTCTGTGTTCAACTGTATATTTATATATACAGGGTTACAGGGAAAGTCGTACTGAATATTAAAGGAGGTTATTATTCAGGTCATTACTGATAGATTTGGTCCTATGACATGGTCCGAAACTTAAGCGTTAAGGAGACATTCAGATTTGAAGTTTTTTTTTTAAATTATCCTTAATTATTTGACTTTTCTTCGATTTTTTATGGGATTAGAGCTCCTAGGGTCCGTTTTATGATTTATTTAGCTAGAAGACACATCCATTAATCAAATTGATTAATAAAAACTGAACCTACTACTAACAAATGGAAAAAACTGCCCAAGAACGGTTAGAGTGAAAAAACTAAGTATTTCTAACTTCGAAAAGCTTTTTTTAAAAAATAATGTACGAAAATTATTTTGCAAATAATTTAAAAAACTTCAACGTCTCTTTACCTTTTCAAAAAGATATAACAATACCTAGCTAATTAATAACCAAAAACTTGACCAAATGATAGTTCACGTAGCATAGGGTACATTTTTAGTTTGAGGTATAAATGGCTAAAATTTATAAATTAAACAGAATGATTCATGTTTTAAGATTTTTTAAAATTCATGTTCAACATGACCGCCTCTATTTCTTTTAATAATTCTTTTTTTTTTCTATTAATTCTTTTTTCGGATGAAAAATTTTTTACCGTAGCAGAGAGCTACAACAAACAAGATGATAAGGTGTACGCACACCGTAGTGAAGAAGTGAGCAACCGTATTCCGCGTGTCCAACGAGGTCATTTTCAATCCACGCTCATGGTATGGTATGGTTGGGAGTTTCTTATTGGGGCTTAACAGAGGTACATTTTTGTGAGAAAGGTGTAAAAATGAATGCAGTTGTGTATCAAGATACAGTCCTGACGAACCGTGTGGAACCGTGTGGAACCTGTTTCTCATACCATGTTCAATAACAGGCACTGGGTATTCCAACAAGATTCGGCGCCAGCTCATAGAGCGAAGAGCACACAAGACTGGCCCTCCTCCAGTCCAGATTTGAGTCCATTACATTACAAGATATGGCAACACTTGGAGGAAAAGGCATGCTCAAAGCCTCATCCCAATTTGGAGTCACTCAAGACATCATTGATTAAGGCAGCAGCCGATATTGACATGGACCTCGTTCGTGCTGCAATAGACAACTGGCCGCGCAGATTGAAGGCCTGTATTCAAAATCACGGAGGTCATTTTGAATAAACTTTATTGCCATAAGAATCTATGTTTTGTTAAGTTCATTTTGATATATTAATGGCATTAATGGTTACATAATGAATAAACTTGTTTCAATTATTTTATATTAAACATATGACAGAATTTATGACCTGACTAGGTAAATATATAAAGATAAACAAAAAATAAAACCGACTTTAAAATCGAAAATAGACCTAAAAAGTAAAAAATAATATCTGGTTCATGATTTGGAAGTCAGGCGGATCAAGATTGAAAGACGTATTATTACCGATCAGAAACGAAAATCTATTTAATGTTTCAATCTGGACCTCGCCCGACTTCCAAATCATGAACCACATTTTTTTTTTACTTTTTTATCCAATTTCGATTTTGAAGTCGTTTTTTTTATGTAAATTATATCTGATACTTGGAAAAAAACGATAAAGGTGAAAAAACAAAAATATGAAATCAACTTTATGACCCACAAAATAAAATATTTTTACCAGTCATTGGCCAGCGAGTGACTACGTTTTGTATTAACTGAACTAATTTAAATTAAGTTCTCACGCCTCAAATGAGCCTATAATTATTATTATCGAGACGGATTTTACGCGCTAACCCGTTATCTATAGTATTGTTGATCGAATGGTATAGGGCAAGAAAATAAATATACTGGCTACTTGCTGTGCTAATGAATAAATACTCGTAACTCACTCTGACTCTCTTCCGTGTTTCTCAGAACTGCGGCGGGGTCGATCGGCAGCGCATACCACGGCCGTCGCGAGTATATCTTCTTGGTGTTCACCGGCCGATCGCCATCATCAATGTTTCGATAACTTGACGGCGACAGGTTTAACATCTCTAAACATTTGTTGATACCTGCGAACAAGTACAACAAAAATATTTATGACCGTTTCCAACAAACTTAGGAGCTTCCTAAACCCAATACTACTTCCTACTAATATCATTAATTTGCTATGTTCGTGTATTTGTATTTTTGTTATCCAGTCGATGGATTAAGATGAAATTTGGTATGCTTATAGTCCCTATACACTAATACCAGAAAAATATTAGGTTCCTAAATTTTGAGATGATCGGAGAAAGACTCGCTGTGTCTATACCTAGTTTTATAATAGCGAACAAATGGAGTGCGTAACTTTAGGCATGTATTAAAAATATTTCCTTTTAAAGACAGCAATAAATCAGCATTTTTAAATATTTTATATATTTAACAGACTGACTGATTTTCCAACGCCAACAGCTCAAGCCACTTATCGGAATGCGCTGAAATTTGGTACAATTTAGTTATTGTGATGAAGGCGTACGCTTAAAAAAACTTTTCCAAAACTGCACCCCCTGGAGGGGTAAAAAGCGGGTTCAAATTATGTATGAAGCACTAAGATCGCGAGGTTAATCATTTAAATAAATAAGCAACTTTTCCACTCAGGTGAAGTCGCGGGCACCCACTAGTATGACATATTTCCACAGAAAGTTGAATTTTGTTATTTATTATAACAAAGACAAAACATTGTCTTTCTGAGTTATTTGCTCTTTCATTTATTGTGAGTTTCCTAAGATAAAAACATCTTAAATCTCTTTGCTATGAGTCTCTTAAAGGCAGATTGGTGCTAACTAGTATTAAATTCACAAAGCGTGTTAAATTCGTAGTAAAATTACAGTTGTTGCAAACCGAAAGGTTAAGTAAGATTTGCATTTGTGTTATATTTTGCAGCCTAAGTAGTTTTTGATTACAGATACATTTCAATATGATTATGACCTTTTGCAATATCCCTGATATCGGTACGATATCGAGTAAGATCCCAAGACCGCCAGACCTTACTTATTTTTTGATGGAAAAAATAATAGAGTAGTATTAATGTGTACAATGAACGTATACATACTCGCTAACCTATGCAATTTTGTGGTGGCACAGGCACGTAAAAATTATACTCACTTTACTTACAGTCTGAGGACTGATTCCATGTTGTAGATAATATTATTAACAATTTGAAAATAATACTACTAGATACATTCTGTCAGCAGTATTAATTGCCAGGCACTTTAAATGTCGAATATGTTACACCTGATACCTGAAAATTGGCTCACAGCACAAGTAAGCAAGTACGTATAAGTTTATTGTACACACTAATATAATTCAATTATCCATATTTTGTCCATGAGAAAATAAGTAAGGTCTGGCGGTCTTTGGATCTTGTACTAATAGGAACTGCGCCATCACGCGTTTGAAAGTAGGCGTTATAAAGGCCTTTGATGTGAGGTTCAAAGAACCTTCAAATTTTAAAAGAGTCGATACTTTTGTAATGCATTTGTAAAGCTGTATGTCACAATTTTCTGGGGTGCCTAACCCACTGCCTGGTGGGCGTGGAGTAACGTTGTTGTAGCAAATATGAAATTTTCTGTAACTGACTCTCAAAACCATGTTATAATAGGTATCATAATATGACGGTAAATAATTTATATTTTTTTATTTATTGGTTGTGTAAGTACTTATTGTAATGTAGGCATATAAAATACTTGGTTGACCGTAATTTTCCGATTCAACATTTCAATCCAAGTGTCAATTGCGTTAAATTGAATTTTGAGGACTATTTTTTCGATTTTTATAAGAAATCGTATAATAATACGATTGCGATTGACAAGCAATTAGGTAGAAATCGATTTATATGTTTACAACATTTTATTAATTTCAACTTTACTAATTAATTGAATTTAAATAATCTTATTTTTTTTTTCTTAAATAATCTTTCTTTTTTTATAATAATGAAATGGGTTTTTTTTAAATTATCGCGTTTTTACTATAAAAGGCAACATTCGCCTGCCCGGTTTCCAATTTATTTGGATTGAAGTATATGTTTTTCTCTTTCATTCTTTGTGACCAGATCTCTATTTATTAGGAAAAAAATTTAGAGGTAAGTATATCTTTGAAAAAATACTAGAAAAAATCCACTCCGTCAAGGCATTACACGGGCACAAGGCACTATCCGTATGGATAGCGTTATGGCTTTTCTTCATTGCCACAACGCGTTCAGATCAAATAGCATGTAAACCACGCTTCGAATTTCGTAGTAATATAGTCGTAGTGTAATTGTATGTAGTCTTTCTATGATGTCCACAATGCGTTGTGAGTATTTTCATTGGAGCCATATCTCGAATTTTGCCATATGGATTTTTTACTGTGACCACAATGAGTTGTGAGAATTTTTTTCGCTCAATAAGCGTTTTTGATTTAAAAGCGAAACACATACATACACATACATTAAACAAACTGATTTCTACCAATAGGTCAGTGTTTATTTCAAAGTTTTAACCTCTTTTGATGGCCAAGTTTTATTATAAGATTTAAAATTACCAATTCTTATCATAAAAGTTATAAGATATTGTAATTTTATCATATTATTACTTGCCATTTTGTAGCAAAGCCGATGTATTGACTTAGCAAACTCTCCGAAGCTTGTCTGAAATGACGCTGTTGTTTTAGGACAGAAATAGGCGATCGTGGTAAAATCGCTGTTCAGCAGTTTTATCCCTGCCAAAATTACGGTTGAATTTTATAAAGAAGATAAATTGTCGTGATAAATAAATTTTATTTATAAATATATTATTTTACGGATTAAACGTAAATGGGTATAATATTTTCCTAGTTAAACGTAAAACGCACAATTTAATAAAAGCTTTCGTACTTTCTTTATCCTGACGTTACGACCAGTTTACACTGGTCGTGGTGAAGGGGTGACAGCCCCCTACGAATACCTTATAATGCGACGAAAATATTTAAAACTAATTTTACTTACGTCTTTTTTCAATAGAAAGATTAATTTAACTAAATATTTGCTAAGTTTAAAACTTATGTTTAGCTTGGTATTGATTGATAACTCATGCATTTTTTTGTTGGTTTATAATAACTTGATGTCATTTATTTTAATTTTTTTTAGAAAAATAAAACATACGCTATTATAGACGAGATCACTTTGGACTTTTAAAATTTTAATAATCCATATTCAATTTTTAACATGTGCACCATTTTTTTATTTTCAGACTAGCGGACCCGGCGAACTTCGTGTCACCTAACAGTCGATGAATTTGGTATATCTGAGGAAAAAGATAATAAAACTTAAAAGATGGACATATGCTGCCGCAGACTTTTTTAATAGAACTTTTAAAGGGCAGCAATTTTCTCAAATATTTCAAATATAAGGATTAAGATCTAAATGATTGCTTGGGCAGTAGCTATCAAGCCGCAATAGATCTTCTTGTTGCAGAAGTGCGTCTTCAGACGTAGATATAGGTGCTAAGATTTTCATGTCATCAGTGAAACATAGCAGCTTAGAGGCCCGAAAACGCTGCTCAACTTCACTAAAGTACACCGCAAATAGAAGCGGACCAAACAAGGATCCTTATGGGACTCCACTAGGCACCGGAAGCCATCCAGATATATAATTTTTAATAACGACTGTCTGTGAGCGATTATCTATATAAGAGCACAACCACCTTAGATGGTCGCGACTAACGCCAATCATTTTCAACTTCAAAAGTAAATCATGCTGAATCCGATCAAAAGCCTTACTGTAGTCCGTATATTTAACATCTACCTGAAGGCCACTATCCATGGCTGCAGTAACGGCTTCGTTAAGCAATATAAAATTAGACACAACAGAGCGACCCCTGAGAAAACCACGAATGCTTCAAGGCCGCATAAAGTTTTTTTCAAATCAGACCAGTAGTTCTTGAGATTAGCGCGTTCAAGCAAACAAACAAACAATTAAACAAACTTTCTAGGTCCGTGCTTTCTGCATTATAATGTTAGTATTGATTCAATTTGACCTATTTAATATAATATAATATTAAGCTAAAATGAATAAACAATGTTGATATTATTATATTTTTATTTGTTGGGTAAAAAATTATCGTATTTGGCTGGTAAATTGTATACGTACTAACTACTCGTAAATTACAATTAGTGAGTGCGTCCTCTTCTCTATTTGCTGTGCCCTGTTCAGGGTCTACAATGATCAAAGCAATGTACCTACTAAGATCTAAGAAAACATTGTAGAACGCAATAAAGTATTGATTGATTGATTGATTGATTGATTTTTATTAGAGTATATAATATTCTTGACACATTCAGTGTCACTTGTGATGCAGGTCCAGGAATCGTATCCACCCGGACCTAGCTCTAGTTTTGATGCGACATCGCTAATAAAACTAAATTGTTTTTTTGTGCCATATTTATATTTAGTCTAAAAATTGCACTAGGATCGTAAATTCAAACGATATTTTTACCTTATAAATCTAAACTACTACTTTGTCTCATCAGCTGTTCTGTTTGGATGGACTTTAGTTGCAAAGGTTAGCGATTTTCAGAGTTTCGTACCTGTATGACTGCCAAAACCCTTTAAGTTATCACCACTTTGTACGGAACCCTCGATGAGGAGTCTGACTCGCACTTGTAAAGTTTTTTATATATTACTTACAATCAAGAAATCGCTAACTTTTAATGTCTACTTTCAATATATTTAACAATAAAGTCTCTATCCTTACCTACTTCAGAGAAACTTTTTGGGTTACCACTCTTACTGTTCATCGTTATTTACGGTTAAGAGCAGCACTAAAGTCCATTATTGCCGAACATTGGCAAATATTGTCGTCTAAAATCCTACTAACACAATTAAGTGCTTTATCGAACGGTAGGTAAGTATATATCAAAGGGAGTCTCTGAAAGAAAGAAGAAGGTGTTGAATTCTAATTTCAATACTGAGTTTTGTAAAAGCCGCAGTTTTGCACAAAACCGTTTTAAATTCTTTCACCTCAAAATTGTAAGAAGTGTTAGTTTTCAGATGTTTTCGGTACTTGCAGTATTT